CCCCAACTGTAAACTCCACCGATTCCTGGCCTTTTGTACTTGCCAGTGAGCCCCGAGGCAGCGCTTCCTGTCTGATGTTGCTGCCGTGCTGATATTGCTGCTGCTGTTGCTGTTGCTGTTGCTGTTGCTGTTGCTGCTCCTGCTCCTGCTGTTGCTGCTGCTGTTGCTGCTGTTGCTGCTGTTGCTGCTGTTGCTGCTGCTGCTGCTGTTGCTCTTGCTGCTGCTGTTGCTGCTGCTGCTGTTGTTGCTGTTGCTGCTACTCCTGCTGTTGCTGCTGTGTCTTGAAAGTTGGCAGGCCACGTTCTGGTTTCGGTTTCGGTTTGCTGGCTGCGATGAGCGCCTGTTGACGATTTTGGCTGGCAAGCATAGGTAACACAGACCTGGTGCTAACTTGGTTCTTTAGTTTATGGACATTTACATGTTCATTACTAGCTGGGCATACACTCAGGACAAAAAATATTCCCCTTTGAGCTTAATTAAATGAGTTAAAGCGGTATTGTGTTAATTTTGTGAGTATTTCTAGAAAAAAGAAATCCCTACAGAATTGATTTAATTTCTCACTTTAACGTATATATTTCCTTGAGTGCTCAGCTTCAACCTTTTCTCATATCATTTTCACTTGCCAGTGGAATTCGCACACAACTCCCTCGATAATGATGCTCAAGAATTTTTAATAAAACGCTTCCTGGAAAGAGAACAGGACTCCTGCTTCCGCCACTGATGATGGCAATTGCCAAGGACCTTAATGACAGCAAGCAATATATTAATCAGCATATTAATTATGCTGGCAGGTCAGGTCAGCACCGGCCAGTGTCAAAGGTCAAAGAACCGTCACACTCATACACTGTGCCATTGTTTGGGCAAATAAATTGTTTAACCAACTTCACAGACAACATCCGCGCACGGCGGCGACAATTGTTGCCGGTGTGCAAAGAGTGCCGGAGTGCCGGAGTACCGGAGTACCGGAGACCCGGAATGCCGGATAGCCGAAGGAGAATGGCCAGAAGCAGTGGGAATACGAGTGGCCGGAATGCCTGGCCCGGAGTACCAGGCTGGCAGCCAGCCATGTGACAGGCAGTCGGTCATTATTTCGCACTTTTGTTGCCGCCGCTGCGGAAATTTCACAGCAAGAAGGACCGCCACCAAAGGAGCAACATGCGACACGTGCAACAGCGGAAGTCGACTCTGTGCGATACAGTGCAGCCAGCGTCATAACAATAATGCCACAACAAAGATAGTCCTCGCTTTTACACACACACACTGCAGTCCCAAAAAAAGGAACAGCAGAAAAAAAATGCTGCTGCTCTGTGCGAGCGATGCAAAAGTGGAGACCAGACAAAATGGAATTTTAATGATATGAGAAGCCGCGCCATCGGAATATTTTTACGGCCAAAGGTGCTCAGCCTCCCCTTATATATATATTTTTTTCTTTATTTTTCCACCTGGCAAAAGAGTTCCCCCTTCTACCTCTTCGTTGACCCCGCGTATAGTACAACCGGCACTTGAACTACGACGCTTTACTACGCTCTTGGCGCTCTTTTTTGGTTTGTTTTTCTGGCTCCTACTTTTTATTCCTTCACAGTTTTGGTTTTGGCGCAGGCGAGTTGGGCCAAAAGAGAGCCAGAGAGCGGCTAAGAGAGTGTTTGAGCCGGCAAAAATAGACAAACAAGTTGGCTAAAACTAGAAAAGCTAAGAGTTGTAAGTACTATATCAAGAAATATATATATTTTTGCTTAGCTTTTGATAAGTCAGCTATTCTATAGTGTATTTATTAATTTTTAGAGTTATTTGTATTATTAAACTATGGCTATTTATCCGTTTTAAGGACTTAAAATGTGTAAGAGAGTACCTAAGAGAGTTTAGGCCATTCGCAAGCCGGCAAAAATAGTAGAAAAAATTGGCAGGAAGTCTTGGTTAATGGTATTTTATAGGGGAATTTTACTGGCTTAACTTTGGCTTTAAAAGAAAGTTTAGAGTATTAGGAATCAATGCGTTATTAAAGTACAAAAAAACTTATCTAAATGGTTAAGGGTCTTATAATAATATTAATTTATTTTTATTTTATAATAATTTTGCTTTGATTTACCAATAAAAACTCATAATTGAGAGTAAAATAATGTTGTTAATTCAACTTTGAGCCTAAAAACATATGAGTAACAGACACTTACTTTAATTTATATTCATATATTTATGTAGATTTAGGCCTTTTGCATCTTAATTTGTATTTTTTTGTTGTAAAACAAGAATCCCTTTCTTTTCCTTGAAACCCTTTTTACGTATCACAAACACAAAGCACAAAGGCGCACGCACACCAGCAAACTAGCGCCATGTGCGCCTGGCGGTATGCAATAGTTTCTGTTTCTCTTTCGTTGCCGCAAGTTAAGCGCGTAGAAGTGTATGTTAGCCGACTGTTGTGTGTGTGTGTGTGTGTGTGTGCGTGCGTTTTGGCCGACAAAGTGCAACACACAGCGCAATGACCGACGTACTCGAGCGTTGACTCGTTTCTGCGACAACTGTTCTCGCTCCTCGCCGATGGCAAATGATGATCAAGGCGTAATGACGATACCAAGCGCAGCCAGTAAGCTTGTTGATGCTGTGCCGATGACGTCTCTCTGTCTCTCTCTCACTCTGTTACGCGCACTCCCTCTCTCTCTCTCTCTCTCTTTCGCTCACTCACTCTCTCGGCCATTTTGCGGAAGCTTGAAACTCACCGCAAAATGCTCGAAATGAGCAGCCAAATTGCGAGTTCCTTCCTTAATTGCGCACTCGTGTTCTTCCTTCGTTTCCGTTTCTCTTTCTCTCACTGTATAACACTTTTCTCTTATACTCGAGGATGCTATAAAGTTTGCATTTCTCCAGTGACGTCACAAGGCTTTTCCCCCCTCACTTTTGGTTGTTGTTATTGTTATTGTGACTGCGCAAGCCGGCAATGTAAACAAAACATAAAATATATGAATGGGTGAGTGAGTTGTGTGGAGGCAACAACAGCGACTGCGAGTGTGTGTGTGTGGTGTGTGTGTGTGTGGGTGCTGTTGTGGGTGTTGGTGCCAATTTGGCAATGCGTGTGCGCTGCACTGATGAATGAAATTTTCCTTTAGCCCCCAAAACGGGGCGGGGTGGAGAGGAGGGGGTGGGAAAATTTAGGGGCCATCGCAGGAGAAGCAGGAGGAAGAACTGCAGGGTCATATGTTTCGAATTATGCCAAGCAAAGTGATATTTATAGCACTCACTATTAATAAGGAGCATTTTGAAAGGAAAAAAAAATTATGAAAGGGTTGCTGAATGAACTTTCACAAAAAAATAAGAAATATTCTTAAGTATTAGCACATAGAAGAAAGAACTAACCTTCTGTGGGTTAATTTTTAAATTCTTAAGTTGGTTTATTATACTCAAAAATTATAAGAAACTTCTACTTAATTGAGTTTCTTAAATATTACTTAATTAAGACTAACTTTATATATATTTTAAAGTTTAAATATTTAAGCTTTAAAGTGTATGAATTTTCTAGTCTTAAATGGAATATATTATACGTTTTGAAAGAAGCAATAGATTACTTTTCGGAATTCTTCCTTTAAAAAAACATTTTTTCACATGTTTTCAGCTTAAGTTTGTTTTTAATTTTCTGCATTTTTAAGAGAAAATTAACCGATCCAAATATTCAAATTAAAATACATATACCTCCTAGTAGTATTCAAGCCCATCTTTGTAAACAAATTGGTATTTGAGGTTCATAAAATCTTTGCAATAGGCTTATCATGAGTAGGAGCAATCATATATACAAACATTCAACAAAAGGTACATCCCTTTTACAAATTGGCTTGTTCTAGGATGAGTTATAGAAAAAAGTAGAGCCTATGCAATCACATTCAAAAGGAAATGTTTCATCTAGTGGCAGATGAAAATGCAAAAACCATTGACAGGCCGTGTCAGAAGGCAGAGTGGCACACGAAAATCGAGTCGAGCCGAGAGCAATCGCAATTTAATTTGAATTCTTTCTGGTATCGCTCTAACAAAAGCCCCGATGCGACGGCGATGCTTACGACCAAAAAATGAACTTAAGTTTCGGCCAAGAATCTTGTTGAAGAATTTCTATTTGAGCATTTGTCATGTCTTCGCCTTAGTCTATAAAATATATTGTTGGCAGAGGGAGTGTGGGCTTGAGGCCGGGGGCAGCAGCAGCACGCGGGGTGTGTGCAAATATGCGAAAGCTAAATGTCAGAGTCAACCCTTTCGTAGCATCTCATCCTATGGGTTTTTCTTCTATTTTTCTCCTTCTTTTTTTTGTATTTTGTGCCCTCTCATCTGGCCGGTGGCGGTGCTGTTGCTGGTGCCTGTTTCTGCCCCTTTTCGGGTGGAAAGGAAAGTTTTTATCTTAAGCTGCGCTGACAGGCAGCAAAGCGGCAAGCGAAGCAACACAAGTACACGCCGGACAAAGGAGTCAGGGGAAGGGGGGTGGCTGGGAAAGCGGCAAAATGGCAAATGGGAAATGGTCGGGGTGGGCCAATGGCAAACGTCAAGTTATAGAAAATGCCCGAGCCTGCACAAGGGGAAAATGCGAGGAAGTTCTGGATCAATTGATCATTTTATTACTAACAAGAAAAGGAGATAAGTTGATATCTTTAAGAACCAATTCATTTTTATAAAAATAATATAAGAAGTAGTAGGAGATATTTAAAACAATTATAAACAATATTTAAAATCTTAAAAATATAATATGTTAAGTATTAATATACAATAATACTTTTAATAATATATGTATCGTAAAATAAGGTTTAAAGTAGATATTTCATAAGCGCGTAGTATTTTACATGCCTACAAGTTATCAAGAAATACTAAAGGTAAACAAACGCGGTTTTGCAACTGTCAAAAATGTCTAAGTTGAGAACCACAAAAGAGGATCGTAACTCCCTCGCTCTTAGGTTCCACTCTTCCCCGCGATAGAGGACAGGCAAAGTTCGGGGCTAAAGAAAATAAGAAAATAGTGTTGTTGTTGCACTCACCCACTTGCATTGCTGTGGATCCCAACGGCGAATTAATGAACAAAACAAACGAAAAAATAAACCTACATACATGTTCGACGGTATTGCCCACATTTTATACACACATTTTCTTTACATTTCTTGCACTTGCACTTAAAAAACACAACAAAATTAATTAGTCAACAAATAAGGCACTGATCTTGGCCATAAATGCTTTAAAAAACATAAACACGACACCGGGCGGGCTGCCCCCACTTCACTTACACTTTACACTTTGGGGCTCTTTGTTTTCCCGCACTTTTGGCACCTGCCACTGCGTTTTCCACTGCACTTTTCCATATTTTCACTTGTGAGCACCGCGATGACCTCCTTAATACAGATCTTTTCACTTTTTTGTCGCTATTTATTATGTTTACATTTTTCCTCCGCCTGTCGGTGTTGGGGCTAGAGCTGTAATAACATCGATACTTTAGTATCGATAGCTAGTATGCGATGGCTAGTGTACGATGACTAGAGTATCGAATTAATAGTATGAGATCGATATATCGTTGTCCCCACTGTCCCCCCACCAAACAAGAAGTGAGTTCAATATTGTTAAATGATTAAATTTAAATAATGAACAACAAATAAATAAATAATTAAAAATAATGATTATGTAATGATAACAGCGAAATTATAATTATTTTCTATTAATTTCAGATCGTTTCTATGGCAGCTATAAGATTGAAAAATTCAATTCCTTACAGTTTTTATAAGCACTTCCTTTTATGAACTTTTTCTTGCAGTGGACAAAAAGGGAAATAGAGCTAGTCTTAGGGGGAGGGTGAAAAAAATTAAAGGACATGCTGAACGCATTCCTTGGGACACAGGCTGACAGTGAGTGATTTGACCATACCCTCATTTGCGTGCAGCCAGGACCAAGGACCAAGGACCGATGCTAAGCCAGAACCAGAACCAGAGACAGAGCCAGAGCCAGAGATCCGAGATCCCAGATCCAGGGACCAATGGATTAATGTGCAAGGATGCGACTCGTCAGGCGGGCCAAGAAAATTACGTCAAGCTACGCACTGGGCAGGCTTTTCCCAGCCACCGCCCCCCCAACCCTCATCCCATCTTAACCCATTTTCCTCTTGGAAATCTGATGATGAGCGCTGACTGCTGCGGGCGGGCGTCTCAGCTGGGAGTGGCTCATTTACGCGCTGCACTCGAGTTACACCAGCCAGCAGTTGAAGGAAAAGCGGGGACAACCGGGAAAAGCCAAGGTGGGGGTGGCCGGGGTAGCTGAGAACTTTTCCAAGCTATTTCTGCGCCCAAATGACAGCGAAATGTAATAATGAAAAACTTTTTCTTTGTCAACTTGATGAGTATGAAATTTTTCAAAAAAAAAAAGAAAGACGAGAAAAAAAACCTCGAAAAAGATTAAATAAAATAAAGGCAAAGACGATGGGGATAAAGGGTTGGCAGTGCGGCCAGCTAGAAATATGAAACGTCAGGACTGGTCCTTGCTTAGCCCTCGAGATTAGTTATGGCAAAGGAATTTCCAAGCGAAGGCGCACGCAAATGATTGCATGCCGCATTACGCATACGCCCGGTTGTGCGTCGCTTGGCGTGGCGTGTTTTAAAATTGAATTTTAATATACACAGAACACAGACACAAAGAGCCATATGGCGGCTGGCCAGTCCTTGGTCCATTCTAAAAGCCATGTCTTCTTTCCCCCCCAATCACATGTTCTGCATTTTTACTTTGTACAGGACGAGGTTCTGAGCTGGAACCCCCGAAACTCTCACTCCCACCACTTTGCTGCACCGCATCCTGGATTGCGGAATTCATAAGCTATGTGCGTTTGCTACAAGAGTGGAATTTTCGCCACGGCAAAGGGTACCCAGATATCCTGGTTCATGGTTCCCGGCTCTCAGTTACCAGCTTCCCAGGCATGCCATTAACCCACTCGCAAAAAGCGCAAAATCGCTTAAATTATTGTTACCAGCTGCCACTGCAGAGTGGCAAGAAACAACAGCCAAGGAGGCAGGGCAAAAGGGCAAACCGCCCGAGCTTTTGGCCGCGCTTTGCTTTGAGTGCCAGTTAGCATAACTCCGCAGGCCGCAGGCGAATATGTCTGCCGCTCCTGCAGATCCTGTTTCCAGCTGCTGTGGGTGCCTGCTGCTGTTGCTGGAAATATTTCCGCCAAAGCAAAGGACAGCCTCTCACCTGCCTTCCTGCCTGCCAGCCAGCTAGCCAGGTTGCCAAAGCAAAAAACGCAGCGCTAAGCTGGCTAAAAGTGGGCTACATAATTCCTAAACAAAAGCAATCAAGCACCTAGAGAAAAAAATGTTAAAGAAAAAAATACACAAATATTGCGACTATATTTTAAACTACATTTTCAAGCTTAAATTATTAATAAATTTTGATATTATTTATACCATTTAATTCTGGAAACTAGATTGATATATAAATATTTTATAACTTTTTAGAGATCTTCTTATTAAAATTACATTTATAAATCTACTTTTACATTTAACATTTCAATAAAATAAATTAAAAATATGGCGCAGAATTTGTGGTTTCAATTATTTTTTTTTTTTGTGTACTTCTGTTTTAGTTTTTAAAAAATGAATGAAAAGAGAATGATTATCAGTAGCACTTCAAATAATTGTCTTAACACCTAATCTATTATCAGAAACCTATTCACAGAGCCAGCAGTTCACTCTCTTAACTTAATATAACTACGACAAAAATAAACCCACTTAGCGATAGGGGATACCCCAACACAAAGAAATCTTATCAAGAAATTGCACAACAAAACGCAAACAAAGCCGGCAAATGACAATTTTCTAAAAAACACGTTATTATTGACAACATGTCAAACTACAGCTATAAGGAACTTATTGCACAACACAACGTAAAGAATATACAGAGTTTTACCGAAGACTTTTATATAATTCTATACTCCTTGGTTTTACTGTTCAATATCGGTGAACTTGAAGGGGAAGTTTATGGCCGGCTCCATGACAAACATCGTCTTGAAGGGCCTGCTGTCATCCCTATTGAACTCCACTTGAAAGTTCCTGATCAGCTTGGCCACACTGGTCTCCACCTCCAGATCCACGACCCTTTTGCCAATGCACATTCGAGGACCAAAACCAAACGGCAGATAGGTGAAGGGACTGACCTGCATCTTCTTGTTAGTCTCGGGATCTCTTAGCCAGCGTTCGGGCAGGAATTCATCGGGACGTGGATAGTAGGCGGGGTCCTTCATAAGGACATTGGCACCCATCAGGATAGTAGTTCCCTTGGGCACATTATAACCCGATAGCACCACATCATTTGGACAGGTTCTCAGGGTTCCCAAGCCATTGGGATAGTAGCGTAATGTCTCCTTAATCACTGCCCTCAAATAGGGCATATCCTTCATGGTCTCCTCATTGAGTAGAGTATCCTTCGTGGGCATAATCCTCAGCAGCTCCTCCCGCAGTTTCAGCTGCTTCTCCGGGTGCTTGGATAAGCACAACAGAACGGCAGAGAGAAGTGTGGCAGTGGCATCCACTCCAGCGAATAAAATGTCCAAACTCATAATCACGGCTATTTTGGGATTGATTTCCATCAATCGTTCCAGCATACTGTTACTATTGATATGTTCACCCGCCTTGCGTCGCTTTTCCAGCTCCTCCTGGTTTTCCCTGAGCATTTTCTGGGCCACATCCAAACTGTCATTCAAAGTCCTCTTCATTTTTCTGTATGTGGGCGTGGAGATGATCTTCCACATCGAAGGTTGAAAATCCAAGCTGAAGGTCAACCGGAAGATATCCCTTGTGGTCTGGAAAAGGGTCATGGCATCGGGATTATCCCGGTTCTTTCTGATCATACCCATTTGCCGATCGAAGGCCACTAGGGCCAAGGACTCAAAAATCATTCGAGTAACTTCATCCATGAAATTCTCCGGCACTTCCAAGGTTTTGGGATCACGTATTTCTTTGATTCTAATGGGGGAAGTTAAAATAATTAATAGAAGATCTTTAATTTATAGAAATATATATCTGCTTACCTTTCTATAAACTCGTTATTAATGTTCGACAAAGGTTCGTAATACATTCTTAAGCCTCTGGGTTGCATAAAGATGGGATTTATAGCTGATCGGAGCTTGCCCCAAGCTTCATCTTGTCTGTAGATGTATTTAATTATAAATGAAAGGTTAATTTTTGTAATTTCTAATAAACTTACGCTGCCACCAAACCCTGCACCTCTCCATAAACATCGGGCCGAACATGTTGACGGAAATATACAATCGAGTCCAAGCCATCGCGATGTGGCCAAATTCCCTCGTTGCGGAAAACCATCTCTATATCCTTCGTATTAAATGTGGTCACCCAATCCTTGCGACCAAACATTCCCGGCATTATAAAGATGTCACCATATCGCTTTCGCATCGTTGTAGTATATTCCGTAATGGAGGCATCGTAGAATTCACCACCGGGCATAAAGGCCCTCATGAACTTTAGTTTACTCGGACGTGGAATCTCGTTAAATGCTTTCAATTCCTCTGATACCTAAAATTAAACAACTTTAATATTTTCCAATCACTCAAACAGGTTTAATGTAACTTACATTGGCTCTGGCCTCAGTCTGGGCCAAAGCTGACGCTGATCTCAGAGATTGAAAAGAGCCTGTGGCAATCACACGGCATCGCACACTGTTTAAGGTATTCATTTTGCTGCTAACAAACTACTGAAAACCTGTAGGCACACGACCTACGATTTTATAGACAAATCTTATCTCTAAAATGGAAAAAAGTTTAGAGAGCGGCAAACAACTGAGAGCTCAGCTGCAAGCAAAGCTCTCAAACCAAAACAAAACCCAGCATGACTTTTCACTTTCTTATCAAAAATACGACCAAATCACCATGAATTGTCTACCTCAGTCAGCAGAATATCAAAACTCACAGCTGATCATGAGAGAGGGTTAAGTGGTAAACATAACAAACTGTTTAGACCACGAGAATACCCTTTGGAAAAATACATTTCAGAACTGTGTAAATTATTATCATTAAGCTGGAATATTAATATTCAAAACGAATTTGCTTTTCCTTATTTTTCCTTATTGCATTCATAAAATTATACTATAATATTAATATTTAATACCCTTTGTATTATAATTTCAGTCAGATGCATAAAACTCAATTAATGAGTCATTTCCGACCCTAGAAATCATATATATTCTTGATCAGCATGAACAGCCGAGTCGTTCTAGTAATGTCTGTTCAAAAAATAAATTTTCAAAAAATTTTCCAAATTTTATAAGGTTTTACATCGTTAAAATTGTAAAAAATTTGATAAAAATCCAAATTTAAAAAAATTTGTAATTGAGGAAGCAGATTTATTAGCTTTATAAAACCTAACTTGGAACAGCTTTCCGAATAAAAATTAATGCATTTTTGGCGAAGTTGTAAATTTTTTAAGCTTTGATTTGTAGACAAATTTTCATATAAAATATAAATAATATTGACTCAAAGAATAATGTTATAATTTTAGTCAGAAGCTTATAAAGCTGTGAAGGAGTCATTTCCGACCCTATAAATCATATATATTCTTGATCAGCATCAAAATCCGAATCGATCTATATTTATTTTATTTTATTTATCGATAGCTATATTTTAGGGAAAAATAATTTTTTCGAGTTTTTTTTTAAATATTAGGGGCTAAAATTGTCAAAAAAAAATGGCAAAAAAATTAGTTTTCTAAATTTTCAAACTAAGAATGCAGATTTGTAAGCCCTATTAAAAATAGCACAGAAAAGCTTTCCGAATCGAATTTAATACATTTTTGGCTTAGTTATGAGATTTGAAAATCTTTTATTTATCAAAAAAATTAGCATATAAAAATATCGATTTAATTAGCTATCAATCACTTCTTATTTAGGTTTTTTTGGTTGTTTACGAAGGCCAAGAAGCCAAAGATTACCAAAAGTAATATTTATAATCGAATTGCAATCAAAATCTTATTCAATAAAACTATTCCAATACTTCCCATTTTAATTCTATGTTTTTATTTTAAGTTAAAACAACCAGACAAACAATGCTTCAACATTCTTAAAAATTAAGATATCTATTAATTTGATTCAAATTCCACAAACTAGAATTTCTATTTCGAAAACATATTACCAAATATAAACAAACCCAGAGAAGCCAGAAAAGTAAAATAGAAGCAATACGCAGCCCCCATTGATTTGCTGCTTAATTTTCAATTTTACGGCTGTTTTACGACATTAGCCGCTAATTAAATTTGCATTTTCCAATTGGCCCAAAATTAGCGCACACCTGACCAACAAAACACCCACCGAAAACCACCGAAACACATTACCAGAGCCGCCGCTGGGCCGTTTAAATGTTGTTCGGCTTTTGGCTTTGGGTCTTCCAATTAAAAAGCAATTTCAAGAGGAACCTGATAGAGATAACACACCGTCGCGTGTGGTGGAAATTAAACAATGTGCTACTTTAAACCAATCTTATCGTGTGAGAAAATCATTAAACACATTTCATCAGCCAATTTTCATTTAATTTTTAGTAATCTAAGTCAGTGAACTTGAATCGGAATGGTATGGCGGCTTCCATGATGAAGAATGTTTTGTAGGGACGACTGGCATCGTAATTGAACTCCACCTGGAAGTTCCTGATCACCTTGGCCACACTCGTCTCGACCTCGAGGTCCACTAACCTCTTGCCAATGCACATTCGTGGACCAAAACCAAAGGGCAGATAGGTGAAGGCATTCATTGGCGTCTTCTTGCCAGTTTCAGCATCTCGGAGCCATCGTTCCGGCAGGAACTTGTCAGCCTGCGGATAGTAGCTGTTGTCCTGGAAGAGAATATTTGAACCAAGGACAATGGTGGTGTTCTTGGGCACATTATATCCCGATAGGGTCACATCCGTGGGACACTCCCGCATGTTACCCAAGCCATTGGGATAGTAACGCAGGGCCTCCTTAATCACGGCCCTCAGGTAAGGCATATCCTTCATGCTCTCCTCATTCAAAGCTGTATCCTTTGTGGGCATAATCTTTAGCAGTTCCTTACGTAACTTTGCCTGCTTCTCTGGATTTTTGGCCAAACAGAGAAGCACAGCCGAGAGAAGATTGGATGTAGCATCGATTCCCGCAAATAGAATGTCTAGACTCATGATCACTGCCAGTTTTGTATCCACCTCCATCATCCTTTCCAGCATACTGTTACTATTGATTGTTTCACCAGCCAGGCGACGCTTTTCCAGCGTGTCCTGGGTTTCCTTGAGCAATTTCTGAGCCACGGTTAAGCTCTCGTCCAGCAATCGCATCATTTTCCTGTATGTCGGTGTTGGGAAAACCTTCCACATCGAAGGCTGGACATCCAACTCAAAGACATACCTCAGGGCCTGCTTTGATTGTTTGAACAATTTCAGGGCATCGGGATTATCTCGATTCTTTCGGAGGAGACCCATTTGCCTATCGAAGGCCACCAGACTTAGGGAATCAAAGATCAGGCGGCTAATCTCCTCCATGAAGTTTTCGGGAACCTCGAGGGTTTTGGAATCTCTTACTTCTTTAATGCTAAATACAAGAAATTTTCAATTATATTGATTTATTATATAAACTGGATATATTTACCGTTCAATAAACTCATTGTTTATGTCGGAAAGCGGTTCGTAGTAAGATTTCAAACCCTTGGGTTGCATAAAGATCGGATTGAGGGCTGATCGCATTTTGCCCCAATTCTCTGATTGACTAACAATTATATATAATCTTAGTTTGGTTTTAAAAGGTTTAATGTATATAAACTTACGCAGATACTAGACCCAGCATATCGCCATAAACATCGGGCCTTTTGTGTGTACGAAAGTAGGTGAGGGAAGCAAAGGTCTCTCTCTTGGGCCAATTTCCCTCATTGCGAAAAACCATGGCCATATCCTGGGGACTGAAGGTGGTGACCCAATCCGTTCTACCAAATACTCCCGGCATTATAAAGATATCGCCATAACGTTTTCTCATTGCCGCTGCAAAATCAACTATAGATGCATTATGAAACTCGCCGCCCGGCATGAAAGCTCGTATAAATTCCAATTTTCCGGGACGCGGAATTTCACTGTAGGGTCTCGCCTCTGTGGTCACATTTTCAGCCACCTGCTGGTAATAGTTTTAATCGGTTTAATTATATTAAAATATTTATTTAATCATGCTGGAATTACAAAAGCTTGGGCCGCCTGCGTAGAAGCTGACCGCAAAGAGCGTATAGAATACGCTGCCCGTTGCGAATTTTGCAAAATATTCATTGTACAAAATAATTTTTTATATTTTCTATTTCGACAGCCTGCCCCGCAATCAAACAACTGAGTTGGGAGCAGCAGAACCGGCTCTTTTATAGACCCACCTTATCGGAATAGAGTATATATATAAACTGAGTGGAATAAACAAAGCGAATAACCTGAGCAAAACAAAAATAAATATAAAAAAAAACTCTGCCACTGTGAAACTTGCAATCCAACATGACTGGCAGTTTTATATCAAGTATACGTCAAGTTGGCTTTAAGTTAAGTATATCACGATGATAATTAAGGCTAAAATCAATGAACGGTTACCGGGGGTAAAACCTAGATACAGTTTGTCACGGTAAATCCTTTGATACACTTTCTACTTTCAAGGAAATAATTAATGATTGAATAAATGTTATAATCCTTAAACATCCCTGCGATACCTAGCTACCTTCAAGTAAGCTTTCCTTTGCATATTAAAGTCGGATTTTTATAATCCCTAAAGGATATGACATCTCAGCAAAATAAAAAAGGGATGCCTGAGTTCCCAAGACTTGGCCAAGAAGTGGCAAGGCTGGCCCAAAACAAATTACTCCAGCCGAATGCAATCCGACAAGAGGCTGTAAATCTTGGCGGGGCATTGTTGTGCCATATCCTTGCGCCATATCCTTGCACTCTATGTATATATATATATATGTGTGTGTGTATCCCTGCCGCCTCCCATGTGCATAATCAGTGCACTCAGGCAGCGCACAAAAGGCGGAGCGTAGAACAGAACCCAGTTATGTTCAAGTGTCACCAAGGCTGGCCGCAACTGTCGGCAATAACAAACCGAGTGTCGAGTCGAGTCGAGTTTCCAGGAGAAGGAGTTCCTTACCCCTCCATTTTGTACCTGTTTGCGACATGCACGGTGTCCTTTCATCGCCTGCTGAATGCCTGTGCGTGTGCGTGTGCCAGAGCATGGCTTGGAGTTGCAGTTGCTCATTTTTGCCGCATCGCACATGGCCTAAACCAGCTGCCAACTGCCATCTGCCGGCTGACATATCTCTCTTGGTCCTTCTCTCTCTCTCTCTTGAATCCTGAATTTCTGAATTCAGTCTTTGGTTTCTTTGGAGGGGAGGGCAGGTGCCCCTTTGTTTCAGTCGCCGGTGAAAGGTTTTTAAATTTGGACTGGAGCACACTCGAAGCTGCCTTCGGCAAGTGGCATTACATCCTGGCGCCCACCTCCACTTAACTGTTGGAATTTCTCACGTGTGCCGGTCGTCTTTTGAAGCCCCAGAGCTGAGCGCATCAGGCACAACGACTTGAAGTGTTTATATTCCATGCCGGCAACTTTATCCATACCCCCGAAAGGGCACTGGGAAAAATCGGTGAAAGATCTTTCTATTTCTTAAATGTTAATTTACGAAAGGATGCTTAAATCTTAAACTGTAAATCATTATACCAAAGCTCTCAGCAAAGCAAACAGCTTATAAATACTATAATTAATGAACAATTTTGCTACCTTTTTATGACAATATAATTGGTTTAACTTCAACTATTTTCTTAAGGTAATTAATTAGTAATTAATTAAGGTTATAAAACACAAATCAACAAGAATATTTCTTTAGAGATTTTAAAATATATTTGTATCCAGATTTCTATATTTTCTTTCAGTTTACGTTCAACAGCAACTGTAGCCAGCTTTGGCTACAACAGGAACCGCAGGAGCAGAAGCAGAAGCAGAAGCAAAAGCAGAAGCAGAAGCAGAAGCAGCAACAGCTAAAGCAGAAGCAGGAGCGCAGCACACAGTTGCCTTGTTTATGGTAATTACTTCACAAATCTTGCAACTTTTTAATTAACTTAATTTGCTTGAAATGCAACAAACTTTGCCAGCGTGTGCGTGTGTTCCCCCTGTGTGTGTGCCGCACAATTTTCCACAAAAATGAAACTGCATTTTATGTGTGGCCTAAATGCTTCTGCTGCTAGCTGTTGGTCATCAAATCAAGTGATTGCCCGGCACAGAAGGTACCTAAGACTCGGCTGGACATGTGGTTAACGCTGTTTTTCCATGTCATGTCAGCCGCCTGACAACTCTCCATGTTCGGATGCGGATGCGGTCGGTTGGGTGGGTTGGGTGGTTTTGGGTGGTTCGGCTCGGTGGGTGGTTAGCTGGCAGCCTTCAAATGCAATGGCCAACGGGCCAACCCGACCAACGCACATTGTCAAAATCTGTCACTTGTTGGCCAGGCCAACACTCGTGCATGCATAAAGTGGTGGTGGGTGTAGTCACTTTCCCACCTTACCGCCTCACACCTGGCCTAATGAGCTGTCAGCAGCCATGGTTCCTACCAACTGAGCAAAGGAACCGCAAGATTTTGCAGACACTTTTGGTCTAAACAATATAGGAGGAAAAACTATGGAAATGCAGGCATAGAGGTTACTCTTTATTATAAACTTGTTCAAGAGTTAAAACCACAGAAAGAAATGTGAGTTTATTTTAAATATTTAAGTTCAATAAGAGTAATTAAAGTTCAAATTCTGTACCCCACAAAGTATATTTAAGAATATAATGAAACTAGAACTTGATTTTGAAAATGTAAAAAAACTCTTTTTTATAAGCAACGTAATTTTCAAATTGCAATTAGTTTGAATACATACTGACTTAATAAGACACTATTCTTTTATTCATATACCATATATATCCCCTTAAAGTATAGCTTTTAATAAAATAAACAAGACCTCTTGAGCCCAAAACCCTCATATTTTCAATTATACTTCACAAAGCTAATACGAAAAACCCCTTAAAACTTCACTTTTCATTGGTTTACTGCACAGAGTATGCACTTTATGGCCACATATTATGCATGTGTCTGTCTTTGTTGGCCAAAAACTAAGACTTTTCACCACACACGTATACCGAGTGCAAGTGTCGTAAAACAAAGCTCTTTGGGGGAAATTCTGTTTATTAACTGTGAACTAATCTCTGGTTTCCTTGGCATCGATCTGGCCACAAATCGAAATTTTGGCAATCGTCCATGTGAGTGCTGTCTTTGAGCCTTCTGAAACAAACATTGCGTTAAGTTGCAGGCCAGGATTAACAGTTGCTGTGGCCAAAACAAGGCAGGAAAATTGTCAAGAGACTGCTTGAAAATGTATTGTAATATTTAATAATATATATCAAAATTAAATAGTTTAGAAATTAATCTCTAAAGATAGTTTATGCATATTTTTGAATGGAAGGAACATATATTTATCTTTGATTTGTATGGATTAATTGATTTTCTTAAGATATTTATAAGACCATCTCTTCGCCAGTAAATTTAGACTTTGACCTAATAAGGGAAACTTAATTTTTCTCAGTGTTTAAGGCCGACCTTTCGATTGTTCAATGCAAGCATCTCTACTACCGATAATGGTAACATGACCAGGTCCATGAATAATTACCAGAAACCCTTTGTTCAGACAGAACCATAATGGTATCAAAATCATCCGAATGCCAAGGATCTTTGGGCTTTAATAGGGAAGAGTATAGGAAATAAGGGTTTATATCCAAAATCCATTAAACCACTAAATGCCCGCTGGTTGTGTTAAGCCCTTCGTCACTTTGTTTGTTTGATTGACCGCGACTAATTAATAAATTGCGGCAGTTCGACAATGTTTAACTTGGCTGGTAAAAAAAAGAACACAGAGCTATAGCGTTGCCCGCATAGTTGACTTCTCACACACACAGAGAGACTCTTGAACATTTTGTTGATTAAATTATAATAAGCGGAGGCAGCTCTTCAGAGCTCTTAACCCCTGGGCCTGCCCCACACACCCCAATGTATATGTACATACATATGTATGTATATAAGCCAACAATTACAATTATGCTTTGATGACCGTATGACCAGCACACATTAATTTATAATTTGTTCAAATTATAATTGCCGGCCATAACTGCAACAGCGCACGCCAGTGGCATTTGGGGCATTAACATTAACACCCTGGGGACATGACTAAGCCCCTGACACAGCATACGGAGTAATGCCCAGAGGGAAAGAGGACAGAAAGGCCGCTTTCCACACACACACACACACACACACAAATTTAACCTCTTCAATTGACCGGGCCTCTTTGAGGGAGGGGGGATGTTGGGAGGGATTGTTTGTCTGTTGACCTTCATGACGTCGTCATCATCATCGTCGTCATACACACGGTCGCACTCATCTCTGTGTTTGTGTGTGAGCGAGAGGTGCACTCAAGGGTTGCACTCACGCCCCCCTCCATCTCTCCGCCCCTTCACACGGCTGTCACTCAGTTTTTCAAGGGGCTTTTCCAGCCACCCGCATACCCTTTACATCAATAAAAGTGCTGGGTAAAAGGGCTGTTGTTATGGGAAAATATCTGACAAGGAAAGGGTATTTAATTCACTTAAAGGTATAGGATTTTAAAGGGAGATTTATGGCAAAAGAAAACAAGGGTTTTTTAGTTAAAAAACTATTGATAAAATCAGGAATTAAATAGGAATTGATTATAAATAATGTGATTACAAAAGAAATAATAAGTATGTATATATAAAGTGTATAGTGTGTACTTAATATTATTATAGATTGATAGAAAGGTCTTTACTCATATTTAAAAAAACTCATATATAAAAAAAAAAAAAAAAAAAAAAAAAAAAAAAAAAAAAAAAAAAAAAAAAAAACTTTCATCTTTCCAAGTGAACGGACGTGTTTTTTTCTTGCGCTCTCGTTTTGTATTAAAGATTGATTCTAACCACCGGGGTTAACTTAAATTTTCTAATTTGTGTTTATAACTTCCCGTTCACTTCGCGTGTGCATGCAGCTATACTATTTTGTGTACATAATTGGCTTTATTTTCCAATTTAGTTGTGCTGCTAGTGTTAGCTTTTGCATATTTTGCATTCCTTTTTGTGCCTTCTTCGTCTAGCTTTTGTTTGCGCCGTCGCAACAGCTAAACGTTTTATCTATCTATCTCCCACGCTCTCTCACTCTCTCGCTTTAGCTGTGCCGCTGCACTTCTTATCTAATCTAATCTCATTCGCTCTCCCGCTCTCTCGCTCTCG